GACGCGGCTCAGAAGGGAAATCGGTTTGTTGTTCTTCAAGAGAGCGTTGTTGCCTTTCTTGAAGAACAAGACCACCGCACTTCTGCTCCACGCCTCCGGTGCAATGCCATGGAGGACGGAATTAAAGAGCTTCTGAAGGACTTCAAGTACCGGTTTTCCACCCGTTTTCAGAAGCTCCACCGTAATTCAATCCTCGCCTGGGGCCTTGCCGTTTTTAAGGAGAGCCATTCTAATCTCGCTCAGACTGACGTCCGGGATATCATCGGAATAATGTCGGATAAGACTCGCTCTTGGATCGTTACTCACACTTGCGTGTGGCTCCAACGATGACGTGTACAGCTGCCCATAGAACCTCTCAATCTCACTCAAAATCTCAGGTGCCCCGAAAACGATGCTGCCACACGCGGTCCTCAGCTTTGACAGTTGGCTCTTTCTGGCAGACAGATATCTGGCAAAGACTTTGGAGCCTTGGTTCCGCACGATCGCATCTTCAATACAAGCTGTATTGAAGTTGCGTAAGTCCCGCCCCATGTATTTGGAGGTCTGTCTGTTCAGTTGTTTGTATGCTGTCAAATCTGTTGAAGAATGTAGCTTCATCTCCCATCTAACAGCCATGAGATTAAGAGTGTGATCGGAAAGTTTTTTTGTTCTTCTGAGGTGGATCTTGCAGAACTTAGCTCCGACCGCATGGACAGTTTCCACGAGCTTGTCATTCATATCGTCCACTTCATTGCAGTTTTCTAGGCCCTGAAAACGGTTTTGTAACTCGAGCTGAAAGGTTTCAGGACTTTGGAACAGAGCACGAGGGGGACGGAGCGTAGACTTCATTAGACGAGACCTCTCCAACTTAACGTTTAGGTTCAGTGTGCCTCTAACCATTCGGTGATCGCTACCAGTTTTCACCCTCGCAAACACGGAGACATCACTGAACAGTTGTCGTCTGGTCGTCATAATGAAGTCAATCTCATTTTTGTCGAACCGTCGGGGCTCGACTAGGTCCACTTCCTGTGGGGCCGCTTCTGGAAGAAAGAGTTCATCATAAAGAATCCCTCTTTCTCCATAGTCGGCCAGCTGCTGGCCCCTTGGGTTCCGTTGCCCTATTCCAAATTTCCCTACTTTCAGCTCACCGTTCTCTCTTGTGCCTAGTTTTGCATTGAAGTCTCCCATTAACACCGTATGTTGGGTTTTGGAAGAATGCATGGCTCTAGAGATATCCTCATACATTTCCTCCACCTCCTCATCGGGGTGTGCCGAGGTTGATGCGTAAACCTGTATGACCTTCAGCGAATACCGTTTGGCGATTCTGAGTATAAGGTACGCAACCCTCGTCGACACACTCTCGATCTTTACAACGTTGTTAACGAGAGACTTGTGGACGATAAATCCGACACCTCCTTGGGACAGATGGTCGTCCTCCCGGTGATAAAGCAAGTTGCCGGATTCTAGGATTACCGTGTCCTCCCCCTCTCTTCAGACTTCGGATAATCCTATAATATGCCAGCGTAACTTGTCTATCTCTTCTTCCAGCTCCACGATCTTCTCGTCAGTCCTCAGGGTGCGTGCGTTGTATGTTGCCAGGTCGAGTCGTCTAAGGTGGCAACCGAACCTCCACCGGAGATTCTTAGCACCCCCTGCCCCGCCGTTACCATGGTCGCCACCGTAGCCAGGAATAGCGGGGCCGCCGGGGACTAGGGGCCGTCTCTTTGTTACACTCTTCATGGGGGGGTATTTGCCATAGTTGCCACGCTTGGCGAGCAGGTTGGCAACCGCAGTTTTTATTTTATTGTAATTTCCGTTACTATCAGGGAGTTGCTGCTGCCCATCTCCTGCCTGTTTCCCTTTGTCGCCTTTTACGACACCCACGGGAAGATATGGGGTAGTGGATATTCTTGACCGCCACTACACGGTTATAAGTAATAGTTGTATAATTTATCATTTTTGTTTTATATTATTAGTTTATAATAATCAAATATGAAATAGATTAAAAGTCATTGTATTGTCATAATAATTATCATAGATAATTTTCTGTTTGTTTCTAATTTAGAATTTGAGATATTTACAAAGAATATTATATACGTAATTCCATCTTCTAAACATTTCTAATTAATTCACTCATCAGTAATATTTATAACAGTGGTTTTACTTATTTTCATGTTAAAAAAAGTATTTTGATTGTATAATTCTTAAGCCAGTTGGAAGCAAAACTTGAAACAATGTTGGGAACCGTGTTGCCATTTTCGGCGGCAACATCAGAGGAATACGCTTGTTGGAAACAGTTGTAAACAGTTGGAAACATAACTGTTGTACGCGGATTTACACATTCAAACTATTCCTAAATTCAGTTTTGATATGTAGTAGGAATAGACTACACAATTATAGAATTCCATTCGTGTTGTAAACACTAGTAAAGTAAACAACAAGTAATCAAATGTGTTTATACTCTTTCTGAAACTCCCGTAATACCTACTATTGTTGAAAATGTAATCGTTTATTCATATAATTTAATAATATAAATCGCTGAATAGCCCGCTTGTTGATTTATTTTACATTTACACCTTATTTATAAAATCCCATAAGACATGTTATTTTTCTTTCAACAAATAAATTTTTAACAAGTTAAAATAATTTCAAATTTTACTTGTAATTCTCTCAAATTTTCCGTATTACAATTTCTGACATTAAAAAAAATAGTTTAAATGTTTGTTAACGTGATTTTTTGAAACGACGCGTTTTTAATTTTAAATTTATAATCCCTTTATTGCCAAGTCAATTTATTTATTTAAAACATAAAAGCTTTTTAATATTGATATGGTCACTATAAGATGTTGTTAGGTTAGCTAATTACGTAATAATTTAAGACATAAGGATCATGGACAGGAACATGGATCTCATAACTTTTTACGGTAGAAGAACTGAGTTGCGAGACTTGGTTTTTTTTACAAGTTATGTTTTTGATGGCATCTCATTTCTTTTTGTAGAAAGTTATATCTAGTTACCTATCTACACCTATTATTCCATTATATTATACATATATAGGTACAATGATTCATTCACTGCAAATGTAACTTTGTAATTCTATATATTTGTATGGGATTACAAAGTTATTTATGCAGTTGCTTTATCTCGAAAACTGGACCGAAATCGCAAAATATTTTAATTTTTCCTTGACTTATATACTAAACAATAGTTGTATTCCAAGTTTGAAGGTTCTATGTCTGCTAGAAGTGTCTTAGAGGTTTGATGATCGGTTGAGTTGAGTGACAAAATGAAGAAAATTTGACTAGTTATAATTCTTAAACGACTGGTTCAAATTTAATGAAATTTGAAATATACTGAGCTTATACAATGCCTAGTTAGTTACTGAAATTCAGTCTTTTAGTTTTATCTACAACGAAGTTATAGGATTTCAAAAATGGCCTGGACTGCTTCGAGAAAAGGATGGTACGGCCGTGCCGCTTTTTTGCTCGACTTGGCGGGGGCACTGCCGTGCCCCCAGATCCGCAATAGAAAATCTATAAAAACGAAGATCCTGAATGAAATGAAGACATGGCTTAAAAGACAAGTATCCAAGCAGCAATTTTAACTAAAAAATGTTTAATAATTAATAGTCTGTGTACAACATAGAAAATGATATTACATAGGTAGTGATTTTAGCGGAAACTTGACCGGCCCGCTTGATTGTGACGATCGTAATGTCGCCGGCCAGTCACACTCCAACACTAAACAATCACCTATAATATATTATAGTGCCACAAACATTGTTAGGGCAACAACGGATGAGACGCAGCGAGTCCGCAGACGGACGCGCCGCATACCCCTCCACACCGCGTACACACCGTTCACCCGCGTACCTGGGTGGTATTCATTGCCCAGAAAATCGAACGATACGAGTTAGTGGTCAAAGTCGGGACCGGCTCCCCCTGTTCGGACGGCCGTTAGATAACTCATCCATGTTATGTTATTGTGATCACTGAACATATCACTATATTATATATACGTCGCGCCCGCAACGTTGCACTAAAATAAATAATCTCACACACCACCCAGGCCGCGAGCTCTGAGTTCGATGAAGCTGTAAGAGCCGCATAGTCTAACAACATTAACATCACAGAAACTAGACTTGACCGGCGGCGGATTGCTGCACTTGTATTTTTGTATAAATAATGGATTGAAGTGCATTTTGATATGTAATCATTTGACATTAAAAATTTTGTACAACCGACTTCAATATAAATTATTAAGAATAACTCAAAAACTATTTATCAGACCTTCATCAAATTTATAAGGGACCATATGTGAAGCACCAGCTTTCAAACAAAAAAGAATCATCGAAATCAGTTCACCCGGTAAAAAGTTATGAGGCAACACACATAAAAAAACATACAGTCGAATTGAGTACCGTCTCCTTCTTGAAGTTGGTAGAAAATAGTGCGATTTTGTATATTAAATGCTTGAGCATGTGAACTAGTAGTGAAAACTGTGAAACAAGTGCTCCGATGTTGATGTAAATGAATCTCAAGATAAGGTGTTCTGTCTGCTTAGACGCCTTGCGATACTATCACCAACTGTCTGCTGGCTCAAGTTGCCGTCAAAATATCCCAAAAACTACACACTGTGACGCATCAACATATTGTGAAGCAACGTACTAAAAAAGATTATTATCACTTGATACTGAAGACAAGGCTTAAAAGACAAGCATCCAATCCAAAAATCTGATTAAAAATATTTAAATTATAAAGTCAACAACTTTTCTGCGAGTTGAGTTGATTTTAATTTTTTTTTCCTAATTGTAAATTTTACTTAAAGTGAATAAATACTGTTCTATTAATTAAATTTAAATGTTTCAAGGACTCAATCTATTTAACTAACGTGCACTCAGCATCTTGCAGATAGATCGACCATAACAGAGTAGCTTCGTTTGATTCATTTTTCATTTCTGATTTCTGTTAGGTGATAACGATTAACGATACCAAAGATTTTAATATATTGATATTTTTATAATGGCTCGCAACAGCAACGAAAGTGGTGATGATAATATAGATCCAGCATCTGTTACAGCCAACGTTAGAAGTACAATGAAGCAAGTAAGACACGTAATGAATAATCGATCAATATTTACAACAATTACTTAATGCAATGAAATAGAATTTATAACTCGAATTCTGTATTAAAGTCAAGTTCGGAATAGCAAAGAGCGGCTCACCGGCAGTGTGTATATTTTCACGAATCATAATTTTACATACCTAATATGGACTCATCGAATCCCTAGTTCTTGAGTTATTAAAGTCAGAAAAGTGCCATTTCTGTCACTCACATACTAACTCCTCAAAAACTTAGGCCACTTTGTTTAGAAACTTAATATTTAGCATCCGAAAATGAATAAAACCTGTAAACTACAAATTATTATTAGTAAGTTAACAGATGTTGACAGGTATTGGTGCAGTTAGTTTCAAGTACAATGCTTGAAGTACATGGCAGCTGCTTAAATAATGGTATCTATAGTAAAGTACAACATTCTTGGAACTGCTATGGCGCTTGGTTCCCATTTAGATGATAGTTGCTTTTTTGGCAAAGCCGACAACCCAAGAGCATTGTTTTAGTACAACTTGGCTCCCTTTTCACATTTATGGTTTTGGTGAAATTGTATTAACAGACTGATTTATTTTAAACTGTATATTTTTTATTCAAATTTAATTAATCTTCAAATATATTTTCAGGAAATAATTAAAGAACTGTTAAATGGATCTTTTCATGACAATAAAACAAAACTTGGTAATGATGCTTTGACACTCGTAGTAGAAGTGGCCAAATGCTTAGTTACAGAAACATGCCTACGTGCTGCAAGTCATGCTTTACGTGAGACCTGTGATAAAGTTGACATAGACCATGTTGAGAAATGTTTGCCACAACTGGTGAGTTTAAGGATGAAAGTTCATTAAAAGTAGTTCTTGGTAAATTTGGTTATATTTGTACAATTAGTGTTTTAGGCTGATGTGGCATATTTTATGTTTTTCTTGCCAGAATATTAATTCAAACAACCCTTAAAAATCAGTTGTGTATTTTATGTTATGATAAGACCATCGCATCTCTACCTATATACTAAATTTCAAATTGAGTGGAAGCAGTTTCAATACAAAATGTATTACACTACCACATATTGCACTTGTCACAGTGCAAACTCATGGCAAATTCCTCTTATACAGCCAGATCTGCCTAATCTGTATAATGGATGCAGTTAGCAAAAATGCTTGCCGCACCTTTAGTGCTTGCAACATGTCTAACAGTGGTGGATCTTAATATTTCATAAGTTATATAATCATAAGCATAATCTTAGTTTCCTGAAGCTATTCATCCATTATAGCCTATAAAAGTCCACTGCTGAACATAAGCCTCACACAAAGATTCTCTCTTAGGGGGGACTTAGCCATAGTTGCCATGCTTTGCAGGTGGGTTAGCAACCCCATTTTTTTAAAAGTTTGAATTGTTATCAGGAAGATTCTGTTGCTCATCTCCTGTTTCAGTTTCCCTCTGTCGCCTCTTACCACACCCACAAGACAATATGGGGTAGTGGATATTCTTACACTACATGGTTAAGCTATATTTGGATTGAGGTGAAGTTATATTTGAATAAAATCTGTCAATTTTTTTTTTCAAATTTAATAAATTCTAGTAATGTTTTATTTCCAGATGTTGGATTTCCCATAATAATTAGAAGCAAAATATATGGAAGTTGTCTTTGTTTTGGGTGAAGAAATATTTGTTGTATCTAAGCATTTCATTAATACTAATAGTATTATTATTTACGTTTTTAACAGCCTTTAAGGAGAAGGTTCATAATTTGACTGTATATTTTTACAATTGTAGCCAACTTAATCTACTGAATTTTAGACTGGGATTACGTTCACAGTGGTTCCATATAAATCATATTCAATGATAATTTGAAGTCAAGATTTTTTTTTTCAAATTCACTTTAAAACTTTAGATTATAATTTAAAAAGTAAAAGATATTCATTTTACGTTTCTCATTTTTCCACATACCCCAAAAATTTATCAGTTAAAGTGACATAATAATTATAAGCAATAAATAATATTTATTTTAAATGTTTTCAATTGTTTTTAATATATTCATATTAAGAACTATCATAGTATTGTTCTTCAAAGAAAAAATATTGATCAATACTTAACATTTGCCAATTTATGATGGGATTTTCTGCTTGTTCAGTGTGGAAGAAGGTGAGGGTATTATTTTTCTGCGGAACACATAACGCCATTTTATTATAGTGTGGTAAGAATCAACTAACGGAAAGGAAGAAAGAAACAGTTATTTACTACAATAACATTCAATAACAAGACAAGCTTAGTTTAGTTTATGATGGGCGGTTTTCCGCAACCCCACATCTAAGCGCGTATTTTGTATGTGGGCACAAATAATGTAATTATTCAAGCCATGAAATCTCTCTGAAGAAGTTCAACAGTTCTTTGATCCCGGTGTGCGGAGATGTTTAGCCCTGTATGCAGCGACAACAACAGCACATGGGACTATCTATAATACAATGTTTGTTAAAAGAGCCTCCTTGTGGGAGGCCTACATTCTGCAGTGGACTTGTGATGGGCTGTAATGATGATGATGAAGCTCCTTCCTAAAATAATGTGTATGGGCAATATTTAGAAATGCATGAATGGCTTGAGTCCACCAACAGTGGATTCTTCTTTTGTATTCTGGAGCCGTTTTATATCCATTGGTTGCACATCATATGGTTGAACATCCAGACCCCGACAATTATGTGTAGCTCATAAAATTGTGCAGTGCGGGGTTTAAACGCATAGTTCGCAATGCCGTAACGCCAAGTCCATTATACTAGCCATTAAAAACTTATTTAGTTTAATAATTAGTTGTAATATTTTACGAAATATTTAATTAACTGAAAAATTAAGATATTTTTTTGTGAAGATTCCCATGGAAGATGCATATTTTAGTTTTTGGGTTCATGTATTCGGCATTTCAATCTTTATCAAAAATCTAAGCCTTCATAATTTTTCAAAAAGATTAAAACAAATATTTTTACAAAATTGTTTAATATACAAATATTCCAGAGTTTTAGTATCTTCTGAAGACTGTACTATAACAAAACACACAGTTTTATCATAATGTCTTAAAATACAACTCGGTACTTATTTTCACAATAAATTACTAATGAAACGTAATATTAACTTTAAACTGGTAGTAAGATATACTGTTACAAATATACATGCGAAATAGGAAACCTAAATAGTAACTATTATTGCCTAAAAATACAGCTCCATTTTATATATGTATATAGCCCAAAATGTTCTTGATTAAGTCGGTTTTCAATTATAAAAATATTTTAGAGGTGCAGGTGAACACATTACTTTCTATTGTTTACCACCGGCGATTTTTCCGGACCGACACTACTTAGGGACCTTCAAGGAAAGAGCTTACTCCTTTCTAAAAGGCCGGCCACGCATTGAAATTCCCCTGGTATTGCGGTTGTTCATGGGCGGCGTTAGTCACTTACAATCAGGTGAGCCGCATGCTCGTTTGTCCCCTCTTCTATAAAAAAAAAAATATTACACCATTTAGTTAATTTTGAGATCATTATTTTCGTCATTCTTTAATGGTTCAAAACGGAAATTATTCAAAAGTATGACAAAATGTAAATTGTTTATGTATAGTTTTAAATGTATGTTATAATAAAAACTAACATTGGCAACTTTTGATCTTTTATCCTTTCTTCATTCTATCAATTTCCACTAAAACTATATTTTACCAAAACAGGTTACTACGAACAAAACCATACAAACAAGTTTCCTTACATACATTGACATAATATATTACTAACAAGCACAACATGACTTGTTGACCAATATTGATTACATTATTACCAACATCTTAGTATTGGTACTCAGTTGACACTCAGTATCTTAAAGTTATAAGTATGCACTGTCAGTGTTACACTAACCCACAGACAATAAAAAATACAAAAGAAAATCGTACAGCACCAGCAATTTTAACAGGCGATTTTTAGAACAGATCCATATCTTCATTGCACATCACTTCGAGAAAATCGTCATCGTCATAGTCTTGCAGTTGTCTGGGATCCGTTCGATCTGGAAGAGGGGAGTTTGGCCTAGTGGGGGATTGTGAGGGAGCATCGGTGTGCGAGGGTCCGTCTGTGTCGCTGGAGCATTCGCGCGCGTCCGTAGCAGGCGATGGCGGTGGATTCGATCCGTGTTCTGTTTGAACTGTCGCTTCGCCGCGTGACAGTAAGGAGGGTAATTCTGAATCTGGAAAAAAAGAAATAATTACGTAAATATTAATCGCATGAATTTGTTTGCAATATATAAAATCTCCTATTCACTTTAAACACTTTTTTTTTCATTCATTCATTCAAGGTTTTGCTACAGTTGCCACACTTGACAACTGCCGTTTTTTTTAATTATTTTTGGTTGTTATCAGGAAGATGCTGCTGCCCATTCCTGTTTCAGTTTTTTTCTGTCGCCTCTTACGACACTCATGGGAAGCCATGCGGTAGTGAATATTCTCACGCCGCCATTACACAGTTTACTTTTTCATCTCGTTAAAAATACGACAAGTTCGCTAAGTGTTACTGCTCTGATAATAAAGTTATTCTTGCTCAGATCCGTGGTCATTGTGGTATCAAAGGCAATTAGACTGTAGATGGACTACCAAGACAAGCTATAATATGGTTGCAACATACACAAATTCAGTTTGCTTGGGATCTAGATATAGCAGCTAAATAAATCTTTCATTATTTTGATTACAATAATAGGTATTATAATTGGAAAAATAGATGGTATTTCACCTTACTGAGGACAAGAAAATTCTATGGTTCCATACAGCCCAGTCTGCCTGTCAAGATGTGGTTCTCTAGTCTTTGGAACGTTAGTAAACTGTTAACATATTTATTTATTTTTTATTATTTTATTTATTTTTTATTTTATTTATCTTCATGCACAATCCCTGACGGGGTAGCCAGAGAGAACAGATCGCCAAGTGTCACGATCCTTACATACCGTTTTCGCGTCTTTCAGATTCATTATCTTATTATATGTATATTTTTTATTATCTTTATTTAAAAAGGCATCTGTCCTACAAGCATATGTCAGCCTTATCGTTGTACCACACCTGGTAATAATCATGAGTATTTAGAAAGGGGGAACCAATGTGATAGGGATATAGAAATTAATGATTTTGCCACCTCCGAGTGTGTGGCTCCACAAGTATACTTAAAAGCCAACCAATTTTACCCAAATTAATATTAAATTTTTTCACCAGATTCTCCCTTAGATATATGACACATTCTGTTAGGATATGTTGGATATCTTCTATTATGTAACAAATATCACAATTCGGCGTCTGCTTTTTTTCATCAAAAACACAATAAAAATAATAGTAAGTCAACTTCTTTGTTAAACCGCAAAATACCTATAAGGCTGTCGTCGCTAAAAATATGCAAGGGTTGTCACAAAAACATTTCCTTAGATAATAATATCATAATATTATATTTTATCTGTATTCCTCGTAATAATTTATTTTTCTATACAATGATACAAAGAAATTACGATTTTACAAAACTAGTTGCGTCCCGCAGCTTTACCTGATTCGTCATGATGGAAACAAATACTTGTGCTTGTGCAGGTAGGCACCTACCTAATTTTACTACATTTTACCTATACAGCAGTATCTTAGGTATTCCGCTTAAAACATTGGATAGAGGGGATTGAACAGAATAAATAAAACAGGTTAAACACACCGCCTCGTTACAGGGTTTTTTTAATTGTCTTTTGTTGAATTTAATGATATAATGAATTCTCATCCTTACATTATATTACATTATAATTCAACTGAAATTCGCGATGGAATGGAAAGCATCAAATGGTTGTATTAACTCAATTTTACTTAAAGCGTCATACAATCTTTTCCCAATTTTTTCGAACAAGTTAAATAAATAATTAAAATAATACCGAGTAAAATAAAAATAATATCGAGTATGTCGCTGGGTGAACACCAAACGCGTGAACTGATTCCGTGTACGTGACAATCCTAAACGGGCGTACCAGTACGCAAGCGTAGCAGACCGGTACTACCGCAGACATCGCGGACTGGGGTCTCCGCTCTCCTTCATACCGCGCCCCATCGTTGCTCCGTTTAGTCGCCGAGTTGACTTACATTAGTATTTATTACACATATGGTACTGCCCAGAATGTAACCTACGAGTAGTAATTATATAGTTTGATCTTCCATAAGGGTACCCATTGGTCATCCTGCTCACTTGTTTCCTTAGCAAAATTCGTGTGGAATATAGTTCTCTGTGTGGATGTAGCCTGGATAATCTATTTTCTGGGGTACTCTTTGGAACCTATTTTTTTTTGATTGCAGCCATTTGATAGTTCCTTTAATAGTTCAACAGCCAGTTGTATTGTTAATCCCTTTTTATTATCTTTAATAAATACCTCTTTTGTTAATGTACTCACGAAATTGCTAAGAAAATTTCCGTGTGATGACCTATACTAGGCAGTCCGTGTAGAAGAGGCGAGTGACGGTTTAGGATGTAAAGGATATAGCATGTCCAGGAATAGACTGCTGCGGTTTGATAATAAGAAGTTAACACTTTGATAGTCCAGTTTGCAGACACAATAGTAAGACAATAGCAATGAATTACATGTAATGCATAGAACAGTCAAAGGGTTAATATAAAGTTCATTTGAAAAGGAATCAAAGCTGACAATTACCTGTTAAGCTCTGTTTCAGTTGCTCCATTACTTTTTGACGACTTTTTGAGCGGGATTTTTTAATTTTACGTGCCGTCTCTTTCCGATCTTCATTGAAAATTTGATTGATCATCGCCTGCGAAATCTCACTGTCGTGTTTCAATAGAAAAAAGTAAATGCCGCCTGGGGTCCGTCGACGTGTGCCATTCTAAAAATTAATATTTTTAAACATGTCATATATAGTTTTAAACATATTACGAGAGTAGTCACTATACCGCATCATTAAACCGCAAAACGGTTTGTATTGGTGTTATACTGATGATGAGTGTAGGATGTTAAATACAAACTTTTTTCTGAGTACAAACCTCACCTGCATGTGGTGAATCCTGCAAAGTAAATAACTCTGGTAACTGCTTGATGAAATCCTGACTGACAATGGGTAACAGCATACAATCAAAAATTCAGCACAACCAGTAAGCAATAATGTCATAGTGTAAAGACCTTACAGTTGGAAGACAAATGTACTTGCGCAGAGCAACGGTGGGGGCCTTGCGGGGCAGGAGGCGGGCCGACCTTGTGCTAGCGTACTTCACTAAATCTGATAGAATGTGTTTTTTCTTGTTCTAATAAAAATAATCTTGTTCAATAAATGTTATTAACTTATAAGTATGTACATAATGTTAATAAATGATAATGAGCATTATAATATCCAAAATTATTTTATTTCCATTTTCGTGACAACTGGCAACCCTGGCATACACGCTGTCAACACCTACGCGGTGGCGGCATCGCCTGACATCAAAGGCGTTTCACAACTGTAAGGTCTAAACTGTGATAATGTAGATGCTAACAAGACTCACGCACTATACATTTTGGTTAACTTTTAAGCAAAATGTACATTTAAAATTCAAGACAAGGTTTGCATTCTTGATCTAAGTTCGAATATTGGGTGGGACTAAATACGTTACTGGGTTTTTCTGTCAGTAAATTCTCAGCAGGAGATTCTGGAGTCAGGAATATAGCGGTGATTCTTCCCTGTGCATCGGAAAACACGGAAAGAACCTCTCATGTCGTGTCGGATTGTCGTTCCAATCTGACTACAAGAATGAGGAAATAGAAAGTGCACCTGTGATCGCACACACAATCATGCACCATAAACCTATACTACACAGATGGCTTGTCAGCATTAATTTAAGACTGGCCGCCATTACCGAAATTCGGTCTGTAAAACGATTATTATGTCAGTCAAGATTTATTAAGCATAAGATTATTACAATGCTATAATATATCAGGACAACAAGCGGTAAAATTAAAAAATTTGTGCAACCGACTTCATCATCATCATCATCATTACTGCCAGGAATGCCACAAAGCACGGTCTTGGACCACCTGCATCCATCGACATTCTGAATAGCTATATGCCATATAGCTCGAAGAATTGTCAACCGATAGGGAAGATAGGGTCTCGAGTGGCAGTCTCATATTGTCAGGCGAAATGTTAGGCGTCCCCCCCACTAGATAGAGTGACGACCTGGTAAGACTTCAATATAAATGAAATCAATTCATAAACATAAACAAAAAAGTTATGCCTGAATTTATACCAATAACAACTTTGACAGTAACCAGTGTACCATGGTATAATGAACACATCTGCATTCCCTTTAGAGAGTAAAGGCGTGATGTTATGTTGTTGTTGATTGCGTGAACAATGCATAGATATGCGATAGCCTCAATCGCGGTTGATATGCTAGCATTTATTGAAGACTTCTGTTGTCTGTTTTCAAAACTAAGTAAATATCTTTACAAAATTCAAAAGAGACCATTTCGGAATAAACCTCTTTTGACAAAAAAATAATTCGCGAATCCATCGATATATGACAGAGTTATGCCCGAACATACATAAAAAATATATATAAACATCCGAATTGAGAACCTCCTCCCTTTATGAAGTCAGTTAATAAGAAAAAACGCATAATAATAAAGATTCCCAGTAAAATATTTATTTTCACTTGTCAAACAATAAAATACTTTTGGTCTTACCATGACAAGCATTCCACCATCAGCTTCTACCTTTTGTGTCTCTTTGTATATTTCTATAGCTTTATTGGCACCAACTACTTGAATAATTCTCCCTGCAATGTAATAAGTTAAATGTAAGTATGGACAGACTTGAGTTTAAAATGTAATGGATTGATTACAGTTGTTAGATAGATTTTGATAGTTAATTCATTATGACTTATCAAAAGCCCACTGCTTAACATTGGGGGGGGGGGGGGGGGGGGTTGGCCAGTTGCCCAGTTGTCATGATTAGCAGGCTGGTAGGTTTCCACAGTTTTTTATCATTTTGAGTTCTATTTGTTTCCTTCTGTTGCTTCCGATGACATCCACAGGATGATATGAGGAAGTGGTACTGCCACTACACAACCAATATCAACGTTGGAATGATATTGAAAATCCTACCTTTAAACCCCCAAGAAAACAGAGAAGTGTTACAAGTTTGTAGTGTGTATCTGTGTGTCTGCCTGTGGCACATAGCTCCTGAACAGATGAACCCTAGTTTTGTTTATGGGGTTTTTTAAACTTTTATTGTATGTTTATTAGACTTGATACAAGGTAACTAAATTATGACTGATTGGTTAAAAATCAACATTTTAATTATAATCTACTTCTTGATGGCCTGGCATTGTATCAAGTTCAGATTGCTCACATAGTATGGAAAGGTGAGTACCGATTACTTCTCTTCTGTATGTAGGAAAAACCCTGATAGAGATTATTCTGTATTCCTACTGGATAAAAACCTACTTTTTTTTCTTCTTGTCCTTAAACAGGGTCACTGCTATGCGGACGCCTTCACACACCATTGCAGCCTTGTTGGTGATAACTTTCCACCCCATCACCAATCAGTTCAATCAATCACAATAGTTAGACGCTATACAAAAAAAAATCTAATTTGGTAAACTATGTAACATATTAAATTTAATAGGGGTATAGTAATAAATTTAATAGAATGTAGTAAGAAAACTGATTGGCCAATATGTTGGCCAATCGATTCTCTTATTACTGTATTGCATTTAAAAAAGGTCACACTTCACACATTATCATTGAAGCTGTACAAGTCTACTGGTGAACAAAGGCCTACCACAAAACATGATCCTGAGCATCCTGCATTCATCCACTTCTTGAATGTTTTACTAGGTTAGCATTCTATCTAGAGTAGGATTCTATCCTACATTTGCTGTACAAAATTCTCAAGAACTTTATTTTCCCAACATTTGTTCATTTGTTGGGTGACACACAATCCATAAAATTATAAAAGAAATATAAAAATGAGACACACCCACTAACTCCTTTTTCTCTTCTGACAACTTTTCAGCAATCTCCTCTGCAATATTCTCAAAAGGATCTTCTGATGTGACCATCAAATCTGGCAAATACCTTGGCTTCTGTTTATCTCCATGTGGCTGATGGCTGTTCACTCGTTTGCCAAGTCTAAGCTTCACATTTGATCTGTCTGTATGCTTTCTTTTATTTGTTGTATGACCTTTGACATAATCTTGGTCTCTTCTAAAAACTTTTTTTGATACATAATTATCATTTAGCCTATACTTAATTGTATAATCATAAGATTCAACACCATATCTACTTTTCTTTGTAACATCACAGCTGACCATATCTTCAGTCAGCAAGTCTTCCTGGAATAAAATAAAATAATGTATGTATCAATATTGTTACATTTTTATGCATACATTCTTACAATTTAGTAAACTATTATTAAAGATGAAAATCTAACTGTAATGTATAGTTATCACTACTGTACTTGAAGCATGTGCCATATTATTTTTGGTGAGCATGACTTTAGTTTTATGATGCCATAAAATGTAACCTATGTACGAGCCCACAATATTCCATAGATGGACAAGAATCACGCCTCACACAATCCTGCACTGTACCAAAATCTGTGAAGCTATTTAGGCTACAGAAAATCAAAAAGCAACATGCAAACATACATAAAATACACCTGAAAGATATTACATCCTCCTGAGTAGATTGTGTATGAAAATATTAAGATCATAACAATTTATTTTTTACAATACAATATATTTTGAAAAAGTATGTTTCGATTATCAATATTTGACACATAGTCAGGATCGATAACATTGACTGTTTGGAAAATTTATATCTAAGCTATGCTTATCATTAGTATAATATTTTGATATAAGGTTCACCTTTAGATTAGCTACCCAAAGTTAGCACTTTCAAATGAATAATATCCAAAAGATCTAAGTATAAGAACTAAGTATACAAGGTTTCAGCGCTTGGAAACTCAAAGTTTTCAAGAAAGTTAAGCACAATATTACGATTTTATTCAATAATCCTGTTTGTTTGACTTAATAATATTACATAATTGGCATGTTTGTGGCGTTTTGTTTAAACAAGTTGTGTAGGGGCCATATAAAATTTTAATATTCATATTTTTGTAGTTTCAAATTAAAATTAATAATAACTATTCAGTATTGCATTCACTATAAAATATGCTACAGTTAAAACTATTTCCCGGTCAAAAAAAAAACATTGTCTAAACTTCTTTAGTCAAAAAATGTGTTTTGACTAGACTTGCAATGCATATTCGGCTATTATTAGATATTTGGCCTGTTCAGCTACTTTAATCCTATTCGGTCGAATACTGCATACCTAGGTACTATTCGGCCGAATACCAAATACTTAAGAGGTTTTATTATAGTCAGATAATTGGTAGAATGAAAATATTTATTTATTTCATAATATAAAAAAAAATCTTATAATCATTGGTAACTAACCAACTTCCATATTATAAAAATTAAAACAAAACTATCATATTCTAAACGTGGTTGAGCCATGCTGCAGCTATATTAGTTGTATAGTTGTAGCACGAATGGGTCGGCTCGACCGGGGAAGGACCACGCTCTCACAGAAAACCAGCGTAAAATAGCAGCTTAACCCTGTTGTGTTTCGTATGGTGAGTGTAGAGATCCGGAGACCCTTTTTACTGGCAAAGAGGCATTCCATCTTAGTCCTCACAGGTGACAACGCATCTGCATCTTGAGTCTTTATTCAGGATAGATGTAGATGTCTATGGGTCACAGTAGCCACTTACCAGCAGGTGGACTGTGTGCTCGTTTGTCACCCTATCCTATAAAAAAAGCTAAATGTTTATGCACTCGAATTATTGTAATTAAAGTGAAAGATAATGGTGCATAAACACAAATTTTTCTTCATTTTCAGGTAGTGGTTTACTCCTTTTCTTTTTACAGACAATCCCAGCTTCAGAGAATAGACACTGAAGAATAAGCACTACTTCCTCCTTGGCTGAATACTTTTGCATAATATTTGGCTATTTGGCCAGGAAGTCTGTAGAATATTTGGTATTTAGCGTGTGGCTGAATATACTTTTATGTTGCAGGTCTAGTTTCGACTAAAAAAGTTTAGACAATGTAGTTTTGACTGAAAAAATATTGGTAAGAAGATATGTTGACTAAATAATATTGGTTAAAAGTAATTATGACCAAAATAAGTACTTTGAATAGGAGTATTTAGTAAAAATAGAACTGTTTATTTTAGCCCCTCAAGTGTGATGTCGACCCGATAAGGATTACAGCTAATGCATGCCATCTTGTCAGCTAACCCCGTGTGCCCATTTGGCAAGTAGTCACTACCCACTATTAAATTATAAAGTAAATGCTGTTAGATTCTAGTTCTAATCTTTGAACAACATAAATTAAAAACAAGGCCATAATGTGGCATCATAAGCAAACTTCACTGCATAAACATTGCGGTTGTTTTACCTGTTTTTTTTGCCGCATAAAAGGAGGTAGATTTTGAAAAGTTGGTAGTGTGAAAAAAATGTATAGAGGTGCGATTTTTTAATCTCTTGAAAAAATGTTGTATTCTTATGCAAATAAAATAAATACCTTTTCAGATAATTGTTTAATTTCATAATCCTTACCCTTTATGTACGAGAATTTAGATAATATCTATAAAAGTAGAATTGCGCTAATTCATTTACAATTAAATAGCTTAATTCATATTGATTCTATACGTATAAGTTTTATTTATAGCCAGCATACAAAATTAAAAATATACCATTGTTTACATTAGCGCCTACTAGTATCCGGTGACCTACAAGGCACATAAAAAAGTAAAATGGCCAGACATAACGAGATATTAGACATTTATTTAGTTTTTAGCTAGGTAGCATAACTAGACTAGACAACATACAATTGATCCTGTTGATCTTGTCTATCCTAAAATTGAATTTGGCCAGTCAAAAAGTACTTTTGACTGCAGATTCACTCATCAACACTAGTTGTGACAGGAATTTCAAAAACAAAATGAATTTTTGGGGGAGGGTTATGGCATCGAAAATTTATTAAAAAATATATATATCACCGAGGGGATACAGAGTGCCACAGGGGTTTCCATTCTTCTTTCACCCTCCCCCTCCCATTTCAAGTAATTAGTAGTACAAGGCAGTTAATCTAAAGTAATTTCAAATCCAAACAATTACGATTTTGCCAGTTGATAGATACGCAGGCCGGTTTATAAAGAAGAATACTGCAGTGCTACTTCACATCTCGTTTCATTTTACTCTGCAGCCTCTTAAGAGACCCAAGGGCCTATATGGGATCTTAGAGATGTCACTATAATATTCACATAAACATTAATTCAATTTGAAAACATCATCAACAAACAAAACAAATAATATTGTACCTGGACTGTTTTACACCAAACATTATATTTATTTCCTTTTGTGGCTTGTTCCTGCTGCTCAGGTGTTTGGCGCAAACGTAATTTAGTACGCTTGGCTCTTCGACGGGGTTCTTCGTCGGATTCGGAGCCTGATGACTCCTCTAGTGAAGGCTCATCACTTAACTCATCCTGTATCTGCATATTCACTAGAGACGGCGGATTGAAAACCTCTGGACGCGCAAGAGGTATGTATGTTCCTTCTTCAACGTCAGAATTCTCCAACTATAACAAAAAAGTACTAGAAGAACGCAAACGTCAAACACTTATTTAGTTCACATTTTGGATACAAATAATTTCATATATTATGTAATTTATAAGTTATATTTAAAATTATAACGTTCTTCAAGCAATAATGATTAAGTTAAACGGAAATAGGTAAAATATCTAGTAATGTTAATTCATAAGAACTGTTTAGGAAACTGCGCTTTAACCTCGCCTTCCTCCCGTTCATGGGTCACCTCGACATCCAAATCTCCTTCTGTCGTTGACATCATTCTCACCTAAGTTTTTAGTAAAGGTTAAAAGATAACAGCACATTAAAGTATTTTACAAAATACAATAATTCCGCCTTAAATCGCTCTTCTAGCAACTGGCAGATGGCAGCTGTCATTTGCCGTCATGTTAAGTCATTTGAGTTTATAGTTAATAAATATTATTTTAAATTTATTGAGGTATCGGCTACAAAGACTTATGCCAAAAAGAATATTTCAGTCGTTGTTATATGTAATTTAGAAAAGATTAATGAAAATATTATGTACCTATCTACGAAAACGTGATATCTTGTTTTATAGTCATCAAAATGATGCCTATAAATGGTGATGATCTTGTTTTATAGGCATTATCGTGAATTGAGTAATTGTAAAAAATAGACAGTCCAAAATTTTCTAAGTAAATTAAATATTTTTTTTGTCAGATGTACGCTTTACTAACAAAATTCTTAACTTAATAGCAGCTTCAAATAAAATAATACAACAAAAATGAAGTCTAATAATGCGGAATTTCTTATTATTATGGTAAGTTGAAAAATATCACTGAAAAGGTCACTATGAAATCTGTTTATATTAAGCTGATATATTTCTGCCAAATCATCCCTAACCTTATTATGGCTTTCACAGGGAACTAATAACTGTAAACATGATAGCTACTCCTTTAAATTATTTTATTTATATATACGTACATATTTTATTTATTTATTAATTTATACAAACGTACACAGTTGGTACTGCTACATTTAAATATCACGGCAAGAATGTAGTCCGACTCCTCTTTTCTTGCTCCATCAAAACTACCAATAAATCGATTACGAAAAAATTACACGTTTAACTCTCTGCACCCTAAAGGTATTATCCATCATTCATTAATTCATGAATCATAGCCTATTAAAAGTCCACTGCAGAACATAGGCCTTCTCCATTGTTTGATCTTTTAGCAAGTGGGTTGGCAACCGCATTCTTTATAATTTTGAGTTGTCATTAGGAAGGTACTGCTGCCTATCTACTGTTTCATTTCCCTCTGTCGCCTTCTACATTACTCATGGGAAGGCATGGGGTCTTAGTGTTTTAAGTCATCATCATCATTACAGCGCTTCACAAGTCCACTGCTGAACATAGACATCCCCCAAGGAATGCCACAAAACACGGTCCTGGGCCACCTGCATCCATCGACTTCCTAAATGTCTTACCAGGTCGTCACTCCATCTAGTGGTGGGACGCCCTACACTTCGTCCACCGGTAAGAGGCCGCCACTCGAGAACCTTTTTTCGGTTGTCAGTTCTTCGAGGATAGGATAGGATCCGAAGCAGATGACACAAGAATAATAACAACAAAAATTAATAATTTTTAATTTGGTGGTAGCCGTGGTTAACTATGACATTGAGACGTCATACACCTCAGTCCCCTCCCTGACCATGGGTGCTGTAAAGTGCTCGAAACGTCGGGATTATAAAATAAGTTAATATACGCGATAAAATCCGTAAAACTAGTTTTATTTAAATAAATGAGACGAGTTTATTGATTCAATTTATGTTTTATGTAGAATTGTAGGTTTCATCTATGCGTACTCGTACTTACTCTAAGCGTTTCATAAATGAAATTATAATTAGGGTTCCGTACCTCAAAAGGAAAAAACGGAACGTTATAGGATCACTTTGTTGTCCGTCTGTCTCTCTGTCAAGACCCTTTTTCTCAGGAACACGTGGAGGTATCAAGTGAAATTCATATCAAATAGTCAAGTCTACTGTCTCTTGAAGCTATGAAAAAAATCAAACTTCTAAGCCAACGTAATCAAAAGATACAGCCTTTTATGCCACAAATCTTCGACACTCCCAAACGAATCAAAACCTACAGTGTACTTCCGCGAACTCAGAATCTTAAAATTTGGTACGAAGCAACGTATTATAGCACAGATAAAGGGAAAATTGCGAAAAGCATAAATTTTTTAGTTACATTATATAATAAAAATATTTTTAATAATTTTAAACTTATATACTTACGGATTTGTTTGGACCTCTCGGTGCGCGAGTCCGACTCGCACTTGGCCGGTTTTATTTTCTTCTTACTTCAAAAAATAAAAAATAAATCATTACTTTATGATATACTGATGCGTCACATTTGCTCTCATAAGTTCTCAGAGCAAGTATTACTGTTCTGTCGTCACTTTTCATTGAACCTCATGACGACGTTATCGTTGTAAAACGTCATGATTATTGTCATGGTCATTCTCATTGTCATCGTCATCATCATCGTCATGATCATCGATCATAGTCATGATAATCTTCATAATCATCGTCATTGTCATCGCCACCGTCATCGATTATCGTCATAATCATCATCACCGTCATCGTCATCATCATAGTCACGACCATCGATAATTGTCATCGTCATGATCATCGTCATAATTATCGTCATGGTCATTGTCATCGTCACGGTCGTCGTCATTGTCATCGTCATGATCATCGTCGTGATCAACGTCATCATCATCCCCATGATCATAATCATGGTTTGAATCGAATCATACAGGGTTTATTTTGCAATATATGCCAAAATTTGCAAAGAAGTTTGATTATAAGTAATATGCGAAAGGTTATTGAAAAAATTATTTAAAAGATCTCAAATCCTTTTTATCTTTTAAATTCGGAATGCGTGGTAATGCATTATTTTAACTGATTGTTATTCATAAATATCTAACGCCTACTATTTCACTACGCACGCACACATTCGTAAGGGTTGCTCGCACAGACTAACTAGTAGATTCTGCCCGAAATAGTCGCTCGGTCGGAAAATACGTTGTGAATTGAATCACACACAGAGGAGCGCGCGTATGCGTAGTCGTTGCCTATTAAGGTTCTTCCGTATAAATTTTCTTGCGTTTTTTGGAATTTGCAGGTCAAGGTTAGGTTGTATATTTAACAAAATATGATTCGCGACCGTAGCGATTATGTGTTAATAGAATTATTATCATTAAAATCACCAATACAACCCTGTAAGTTCATATTAGCCCTTTGAATGAGTTTTTCTGGAAAAACTCATATACAACCTAAATATACAACCTAACCCTGATCTGCAAATTCCAAAAAACGCAAAAAAATTTGAATTTCGCGGACCACCTTGGAGCTTCCACCTTAATCACATTAAATTTGGAATAGTTTAGGGATAGTCTCTTTTCACTAATACCAAAAATAATAATTCTTGTAATAAAAGTACTAGTGTAAGCACTAAGCAATAGTGTAAACATTCCTTCCAGTCTATTGCCTACGCTGATAGTACTTCTTACTTCTTACTTACTAAAAACGAAATTATTAATGTAATGTTCACAATGGACTCTACTATCTATAAATGATATAATTATTAAATTAAAAAAAAAAAATAGAAAAATTTATTAAATTCAAAAATTACAACATGAATGTGACATCCCTGTCACTAGATAATTTTAAATAAAACGTAGTGAACATATTCTCATGGATTTTTACTTTTTACTTATTTCATAAGAGCATAGAAGTGTATTTTGTAACAAGATAACAAAAGAAATTTTATACTCTTTTAGTCTGAGCTTTCTGAATTTACAGTAAATAATATCAATTCTTAAAACCAAGAAATCAAAAATGTGCATAAAGTAATATGATCAATAGCACTAAACAATATATTTTGATTTGAAATGTAGGTATTTGTTTACTTATTATGATATTAAAAGTTGTTGTCAGTATTAAACTTGATTTTTATTCAAGTTATTTATTTCACAGGGCTGCTTTTGAAACCATTAGCAGACATGTTATACAACCTTACAACCACGAATCTTTTTTGGACTTAAGATTTGCTCGATTACCATCTACAAAAGCCTTTGTAGATAATTATGAACCAAGAGAGCACAGAACACCCAAAGATCCCATTAAGTATATTTCATTTAAAAATCCTTTTTTCAGAATTGTTCTTGATTTCGTTTTTAAACTTAAATGATGTCTATATTTTGACTTCTAAAGCAGCGTTTCCACTGCGTGTTCGTTCTACACCCTAAACAAAAACACATTTTAAGAATAGCTGCACAAGTCGTCCCCTGTTGTCATATTTGTAAATTTGCCTAATGCATATCTTCAAACCCTGGCGCGATATGGGGTAGTGAATTTTTTTTTTGCACGCCGTTCACAATTGACAAGTATGTCACGTAATATATATACAAAAAACATAGAGTCAAATTAGAATTTAAAAGAACCTTCTCAACAAAAAATATAAGTCAAAAAATTATCAAATATTATTATTTAGACTATTTTATATTATTAGACATTGCCTAAGCTTAATTAGTTAAAAGACGGTTTATAGATTTTTAAGCAATAAGTGTAACTAGGCAATACTGAAAAACAGGGTCCAGAATTTCAAACTGAAAAACTAGGACAGCAAAATTACTGGTAGAGCACAAAAACATACGATCTTGCATACAAAATAGTGGTACGCTATATCGGAAGGAAAAAAATGGAAATAACGGATGGTAATTTTACCGTGTAGTGCACAAGCGGCTTAAGACCAGCCTTCCCGTTTAAATTCCTACTCTTTAAGCTAGCCCCAGACTGGACGAGTCACTGACAAGCGCGCGTCAGTAGTGCGTCTAAGTGCATCGTATTGGACAAATGAGGTTGAAAATGGGGCGATGCCTTTGATTTTATTGATTCTTGTATCTGGCGATACGAACGCTATCTTGCCATTTCAATTTTAATAAAAATAGACCATCAACTTGATTTATTTTTAGATAATGCTTTAGTTGATTTCCTATCCTAGTCATTAAAATAATACTTGTTTCTTTTTTTTAATAGAAGAGGGGGCAAACAAGCATTCGGCTCACCTACTTTCTTGAAGGTTCCTCTAAGTTGCTTTAAATATTGAGCATTTTGCGACAAAAAATTTTTTTTGAGTTAAGACGGTACCTATATGTATTTTTTGATACACTATTTTTTTTCGGCTCGTAATATTTATAGTACGGCTGACTTTGTTACAAAAAACTGGACGTTTTACGATGTTTACGTATTGGCGGATCATAAAAAGATTAAATAAAAACTTTATCCAAAGAACTTTCTTTTGTTTCGCAAACTTTTTTAAGTGGACTACGTAGTTTCAGTAAAATTACAGGTTCTAATTATATGTTATCAATATATAGTTTCTATTTGATGCTCAAAAAATATATTACCTATTCCTACTGAACACGTTCACGCTTTTTTTTTTTTAAAAAAAACGTTACCCCCACACTAGGATTTTCTCCTGTGTCGTGGAGGCAGTTTACAAACATAAATTGCACAAGGACAAACATCCAGACCCGGAACAATTATTTGTAGGCCATACAAATACTTGTTCCGTGCGGGATTCGAACCCGCGGCCCCCAGCGCAACAACTTGATTGCTAAGCCACTGCGCCACGGAGCCGTCGATTAAGTACAGCGGATAGCTTATGGATACCAGCGACCAACTCCAAACACAGAAGGTTGGTGATGCGTGGTCACCTCTAAAGAATAAGATGGCTAAGCTGACGCCACTTGGTCTGTAATGATAACAAATTTTAATATTCTTTAAACTGAACCACTGCTGCTCAGAGGCCGAAGAAGGTGATTTATACGGAGATTAATGTAAAGTTGGCTTTTACATTACTTTACCTTTAGCAGATCAATAAAGAGTTATGTATATATAAATTGTCTATGTATATAATATGTAGCTCTAAAATAATATTTTAACATTTAAGTTTGTTTTTATTTTACAAGAGTGTGGATGGCCTATTTTAATCTCCTGCGGATCTCATTGGGTCCTGGAATGTTAGGCATGCCTCTTGCAATAAGTCAAGCTGGAATTGTTCTTGGACCTATTATTACAGTCATAGCCGGGATTATGGTTTTGCACATGCATACAACTTTGGTAAGATTTAGAATATTCTTTTATCACCGTACTCATTTACATATCTTTTGTACGTACTGTTTTATATTATATCGTAACTTGTAATATCTAATAGGTGCGCAATTATTCAACTCAACATTGTTTTACACGGACCCATACTTAAATAGGATACATTTGTATAGACGGACCGTGAGTAATTCGAACCCGAGCCACAGAATAAACACAGGTTGCACTAATTCGATGTTGACTGCTTACCGACGTTTAAATGGCCTACATCATCATCATCATCATCATCATTACAGCCCTTCACAAGTCCACTGCTGAACATAGGCCTTCCCCAAGGAATGTCACAAAGCACGGTCCTGAGCCACCTGCATCCATCCACTTGCTGCATATATTACCAGGTCGTCACTCCATCTAGTGGGGGGACGCCCTACACTTCGTCCGCCGGTACGAGGCCGCCACTCGAGAACCTTTTTTCCCATCGGCTGTCGGTTCTTCGAGCTATATGGCCGGCCCATTGCCACTTCAGCTTACTAATCCGTTGGGCTATGTCGGTCACTCTGGTTCTACTGCGGATATCCTCATTTCTAAGTTTATCACGCAGAGAAACTCCGAGCATAGCTCTCTCCATAGCTCGCTGAGCGAACTTGAGCTTCCTCATCCGGCCAGCAGTGAAGGACCATGTCTCAGTACCATAGGTTATCACTGGCAACACGCACTGTTTGTATAGTCTCGTTTTCAAGTTTTGAGATATACCGGACGAGAAGATGTGCCGTAATTTCCCGAACGCTGCCCAACCGAGTTGAATCCGTCGACTGACCTCTCGGTCGAAGTTCGACTTACCTAGTCGGACTATTTGTCCCAGGTAAACATACTCGTCAACAACTTCGAGCTTAGTGCTCCCAACAACTACCGGCATAGGTGTGACATGGACATTAAACATGATCTTTGTTTTGTCCATGTTCATCTTAAGACTTATCCGTTGGGAAACACTATTGAGGTCATTGAGCATAGTGCTTAGGTCGTCCAGCGATTCTGCCATAAGGACTATATCGTCGGCAAATCGAAGGTGAGTGATGTACTCGCCGTGGATGTTAATACCGTATCTTTTCCAGTGCAGAAGCTAAACGTCTTCCAATGCAGCGTTGATGAGTTTCGGGAATATAACGTCACCCTGTCTTACACGTCTCGCAGTTGGATAGGTTTCGTACTCTGATTCTACTCGGATAGAAATCGTAGCCCTATTGTACAAACACTTCATCACTTCTATATACCGACAGTCAACTTGGCACCGCTGAAGGGACTGTAGCACCGCCCAAATTTCGACGGAATCAAAGGCTTTCTCATAGTCCACATACGCCAGACATAGTGGCAAATTGTACTCCTCGGACTTCTGTACAATTTGCCGAAGGGTATGAGGTCTATGGTGCTAAAGCCTTTTCAGAAACCGGCTTGTTCGGGAGACTGGAAGTCATCAAGTCTGCGCGCGAGACGATTCGTAATGACTCTCGAAAACAGGAAGAGAAATCAATGGCCTACATAGTTATTATTAATCAGATAAATCGCGCATGCAAGCTAAATAAAACTTTATCGTTACGCACGAGTGTCCGTGTTACTTTGCATCTGTTCTCTTTTCTTTCTACGTCACGACGGACGTTCCATGATTACTAAGGGCTGTTAAAAAAGAGTAAAATAATACATTGTGAAATTGTAAGTAAGTTACTTAGGTAAAGTACCTATTCTGACTATGATTGACCATATTTTATATAAACATTTTACTTTTTTATTTATTTTTTCGCTATAAGTACCTATCTAACAAAAGATGTAAATAAATTCACCTTCCGTTAAAATTATATAATATCTGAATAATTTTATTTGCTTATTAAGCATCTATGCACGCAATCATTATAGTAGGAATGAAGTTTTGCCATTATAATTTATCAAATAGATAGGTAAAAGTTTTAATGTAATTTAAGAATAATATATATGTATATATATATTATTCTTAAATTACATTAAAACTTTTTCAACTATTTTATCCTAGAATTAAATATACTAAACACAAAAACTATTTCTATGGGTATTTCAACAAATATTTACAAAAAACTATTTACATATACAGCATTAAAAACTTTAACATTCAATTGCCTACAGTAATTAGATAATCACTTATTATTTAAGTAAAAAATTAAAATAATTAAACATTTATTTACATTGTAAGTCTTACAACACTAACTTGTACTTCAATAACAAACAATAATTGAGCAAACAAATTCAATGGGAGCTTTGGCTTTGCCCATGCATGGTCATTCAAGTAGAAAATTTAAACTTTACTAAGCAACTTGTACTTAAAAATGAAAAAAAAAAAAAACATAACATACATTTGAGCAAAAAAATTCAATGGGAGCGTTGACTTTGCATGGTTTTAGAAAGTTTGGATAAATTTGGCTCTTGTCTTGTTGTTTTAAGTTTTAAACACGACTCTAAATTTTCACTTGTTCGTTGGCTTCTTATTTTATTTTTAGTTATATTCCTCCAAGAGAACGCTTGCTCGCACGAATATGTCGATCCGAAGAAAGTCAGCATTCCAAATGCCAACTTCTTCACCTCACAGTTGTAATCTGGAAGACTATTCCATGAGTCGAATATAAGTGCCTCAACTCGCGGCATTTCTTTTAAAACTGTCCATTTTTGTTGCGTTACGTACATACATTTCTGGACCTCCAACTCTTCCAACTTGCTTTTCAACTCTGTAAATTTTCCAATCCACAAAGCTTTACTTTTTAAATCGATCAATTGCATTTCTAGAGACCCAGTATCAACTTCAAATGGCTCAGTGTAGATTTTGTTACTAATTGTGGTGAGAGGATTTACTATGATTGCTAGAGTGGTTTTGTTGGTTTTGAATTGCTGAAATCTGTCAGCAAATTCATCTTTATTTTTTTTTTATAACTGTGTCAACAGTTACACTGGTTTTATAGCGATATTGCTTTAGAAATTAAAAATGAAGTAATTTACCGCTCTGAATATCTTCTGCAAAAATAATTAATTTTTCTTCGAAACAAACCAATTCTTCTACCAAAACATAAGCTGGGTTTCCCTTTCCTTGCAGTTTTAGATTTAGCTCATTTAATTTCGCCGTGATAGCCTCCATAAAGTAAAATTTTTGCAAGCATTGTTGTTCTCTAATTCAGGGTGATTAATGCCTTTTTCATTGAGAAATGTATTTATTTCATTCAAGCACAAATCAAAACGTTTCAACACCTTACCTTTGGAAAGCCATTGCACTTTATTGTGAAGAAGGAGGTCGGAATACTGAGTCTCTATTTCGTTTAAGAATATTTTAAGCTGTTAACAATCTTGATTATCAAATGTTCATGACCTCAACTATTTCGGCCGGAAATGTTTGGGCACAAAGCGCTTCTTGGTGTAATATGCAGTGAAACGTAAGAATTTCGTGGTTTATTTTGCTCTGAAGAATCGTTATTGTCCCTTTATTTTTTCCTGTCATACTTCTGGTTGCATCGGTTGCTATTGAAACGATTTTGTTTAAATAGATCTTATTGTCTTCGAAGCATTTTTGCACGGCTTTCGCAATATACACAAAAAAAAATTGCTATGTGACGCTAGATATTCCAATAATAAATTCACGCTATTTTAGGCACAATTTTGATAGACATAATGTTGACTTTGCCCTATCTAACCTGCTACTGCTACGTAAATGATGTTAGTGATATAGTTATTCTACTCGAACTTGATCTGACTTATCGATATTCAGTCAATATTAAAGTATGGGAAAATATATGATAAAACTTATTGGGAATTGCCTTTGCATATTTGAATACACACAATGTCAAGTTAAACGTGTCGTGCTACAATGAAAGATCTATTCTGTTCTATTATATTCTATAGTGATTAACTCGTACGTTAATCAAGTGATTAACGAACGATGAAATTAAAAAGGTGGCCGTATTTATTGAACGATTGCTTTCAAAATGGTTACCACCTATCTGAAAAACCTTCTAATTATGAAAACGAAACTTTTGTCAAGATCAAAAATATGGAAGTTACTTTGAAATTCTTACACGGACGCTTAAATTTCATAAAACCTTAAAGTTTGATTTAAAATGAGGTTTTTAGATTATTTAATATAATAGCGTTCCCTGTTTTGGTATTTTTTAGTTGTGGTGCCTAAATGAAATCTGCAGACAATTAAGAATACCTTATATATCGTACCGGTATGGCTTTCGTGTAGCTCTACTCCATGGACCTGCAGTTTGTCAGGCAATGGGTCATCGCGCTCCGTAAGTATTTGCTGTTGGTTTGAACACAAGAGGCAAGTAATATGTCATATGTGTAAGCAAAAACAAATTTATTTCTTCATTATCAATTTGTGAAGATCGACTGCTGAGCAATTAATTGGCATTGGTAAGTGAACATACGCCTCGTACTTTTATCACTGCTTCGCGTCGTCGATCTGTTTATTTCACATCTATTAGAACACATGTAATCATTTAGACATTTCCTTAGTTGGTTTTTGTAACACCTACGGGAAAAAAGGGATACTTGATAGATTTTCTGATATTCTATTAGCTTACTACTGCTCTGCTTATTATGACGAACTTTGAGAAAGGTAGACTTTTTAAACTGCTTGAATAGTAGCAAACATTGGAAGAAGTATGTATACTTTTTAAACGCTTCGTTGCTGCTAAAGGGTATAATGATAAATGTGATGGGGGCGTAAGAGATTCCATCGCTCCATTTCGTTCATTAAATGTCGTAAGCGGTGGCTATGGAAAATTCTATTAGATTAGATTTTTTGCTGGTTCTTTCCAGGACAGAGGTTTTTTTCCGAACCAGTGATAAAGTAAAAAATGACTTTCATTAAGAATTACATGTAACCTATATTTAATAAAAAATATTTCTTTTTATTTTATTCTTGAAAAACCTTATATTGTTTACCGTTACGGCCTATTAAAGCCCACTGTAGAACATAGGCCTCCCTTATAGATGGCCTCATATTTGCCTATGTATTTACTATAGTTGCTACGCTTGGCAAGCGGATTGGCAACCGCAGTTTTTTATTTTGAGTCGTTACTAAGAAGACGCTGTAGCCTATCTCCTGATTTGTTTCCCTCTGTCGCCTGTTACGACACCCACGGGATGATATGGGGTAGTAGATATTCTTACACCGCCCCTACACTGTAACGTATTATTATTTACGTCAGACTTAAAATACCCAGAACTGTGACGGGAAGTAGCGTCAAAGGGCAAAACGTCAAAACGTGACCTATGGTACTCCAACTCGACGTTCCGCCTACTTCGCGTGTTGACTAAGGCAAATCATATATCACGGGAGACCCAGAGTTCAGCAGTGGACTCAAACGGCTCAATAAATAAGAAAAAAAAGTCTAAATAACAATTTTTTTTTTCAGGGAAATTATAGCTGTATTTATGATTTTAAACCAGATTGGAATTTGCACGGTGCATGTTATATTTACAACGGATAGTTTGCGAGATGTGAGTGACGAAATAATAAATTGTCAGTTGAAATCACCCTTGCGAGTGTTAGTTAGGTGTATACTAATAAGATTAATCATGATTAACTACCGACCGAGAGGACAATCGACGGATTCAACTCGGCTGGGCAGCGTCGGGAAATTACAGGTATACCTCAAAACTAGACTGTACAACCAGTGCGTGTTGCCATTAGCAAGGTTGTACAGTCTCACTGAAGACCAGTGAGTCGTGGTCCTTCACTGCTGGCCGTATGAGGAAGCTCAAGTTCGCTCAGCGAGCTATGGAGAGGGCTATGCTCGGAGTTTCTCTGCGTGATAGACTTAGAAATGAGGATATCCGCAGTAGAACCAGAGTGACCGACATAGCCCAACGGATTAGTAAGCTGAAGTGGCAATGGGCTGACCATATAGATCGAAGAACCGACAACCGATGGGAAAAAAGGTTCTCGAGTGGCGGCCTCGTACCGGCGGACGAAGTGTAAGGCGTGCCCCCATTAGATGGAGTGAAGACCTGGTAAGACATGCAGGAAGTCGATGGATGCAGGTGGCTCAGGACCGTGCTTTGTGGCATTCCTTGGGGAAGGCCTATGTTCAGAAGTGGACTTGTAATGGGCTGTAATGATGATGATGATGATGATTAACTAAGTCAAGTTTATTTTTATTTTAGTTTATTCAAGCTATAGCCGGTTATCATACGTTCAATTTTTGAACATATTCTACCCTACGTTGCTCCAGACCATAACTGTATAATGGCAGTGTAAGAATATCATATCATCATATTGTCCCGTGAGCGTCGTAAGAGGCGACAGAGGGAAACTGAAACAGGAGATGGGCAGCAGCATCATCCTGATAACAACTCTAATAAAAAAAGATGCGGTTGCCAACCCGCCTCCCAAGAGTTCCAACTATGGCAAAATCCTACCTATTGGGCAAACTATGTGGGAGATCTGTGTTTAGCAGTGGACTCTTACAGGCTGTGATGGATGGATGGATGGACGTTGTTCCAGTGTAAATTAACGAATACTTCATATTATTATATTCTCATAATACATTTTCTGTTATTTCTATAAGTATTCTTGGTAACTTACGTCACAACTAACAATGAAGTAAATTTGCAAATTGCAAAATAAACAATTTCGTGTGTTGCTCTTAGACTATGATATTTCATATGAAAGACAGATCCCCTGCAGAGAGTTATTAATTCATTAATTCATTATTACAGCCTCTCAAAGTCCACTGCTGAACACAGGCCTTTCCATAAATTGCAAAAAAGGTGATAAAACATAGTGGCGACGCTTGGAAGACGGTTTTATTTTCTAGTTGCTCTAAGGAATACTTTACTGCACGTTCCCTGGTTTGTTCTCTCTGTCGGCTCCCACAGGATGATATGGTAGTGAATTGATTTAAGGCATTCCCATTCATTTTTAGGGTTCCGTACCCAAAGGGTCATCAACAATATAGTAACATGTTAAGGCTCCGCTGTCCGTCCGTCTGTCTGTCAGCGGGCTGTATCTCATGATCCGTAATAGGCAGACAGTTGAAATTTTCACATAATGTGTAACAAATACACGCATAAACACTCACGTCTGTCACCCGGAGGTCGGGGGGGGGGGGGGGGGGGGGGCAGAGACTATGGACTTCCATTTGGCACGATCACGATCCTGACCAACAAATAATAAAAATTAGAATTAATTAAAAAGTAAAAGGGGCTCCCCTACTAAATTAGACTAATACACGTTTTTACTATGGTACGGAACCCTTCATACGCGAGTCCGACTCGCACTTGGTCGGTTATTTATAGTACTTATTATAGTTTAACGAGGTTAGAAAGTCATCTTGGCAGCAAAACGGTCCAGCCTCGAATTGTCCGTACACGTACCTAATCTGTAATTTTTGACTTTTATATTTTGATTACTTTCCTGTCGTGTATTCCTGCTAACTTAAAAATTTTGAAAATAAAAGTTCGTGTAGTTACAGAGAATGTCTCACTCTACTGTAAATCCCAAAAATATTTTTCTAATCATTTCATTATATTAATTTCTCAGTGATTGAATCTGTTTAAAGTTCTATTATAAAAATAACAATGTGGCTCCGATGTCTGATGAAGGAAAATCTAAACAAAAATAATAAAAGCGAGCCAAAGAATTGAAATTACTATTTTCGTGTTTTGATAACCTTTTTGGCATTTTCAGATCATGGACTGGCAAAGTTCGAAACCAGCCCTGTTAGCGTTGCTGTTGCCTATTATGTTTTTGGATTCCATATTGAAATCTTTAAAAGTGGTCAGCTATATTTCTTTGTTGGGTACGACACATTAGTTTAAATTCTTACAATACAATATAAAAAAAATAATAATGGACACGGGTGCTGTTGGGCATTCACTATCAAATTAAAAAAAAAACTGTAGGATCGGTTATAATGCAAACTTTATTCTATATTCAATATACAATTAAGCGTCGAATAAATAACAACCTTTACAAACGATAACCTTTCTTTCCCTTCGGTTGTCGATATCACTTCCTTGTCACTAACCCGTTGAGCGTGTCTTTAGTTTGATTCTGCTGCCGCTATTTTCGTAACGAATGCTATCATACAGAGAACATCCTCGTTGAGCTAACCTAATATCATATATTGTATTGTATGGTATTTCAAAGAAACGATAAGATAACTAATATCTTCTTCCGACAACCGAAAAGGACGATGACAGATTTGTGGAGCAGCTTCGTACCAGTAAGCGATTTATATGACGGTCAGCCATTAGACGGAATGAAGACTTTGTAAGAATGCAGGAAGTTGATGGATGCAAGTGGCTCAAGAACATGCTTTGTGGCATTCCTTTGTTCAGCAGTAGATTGGTGAGAAAATAGCTAAATATGAATAATATTTTATTCATATTTATTCGCCCTTAAAGTTCACTATTGGTCATGGGCCTTCCTTCATCATCAAACTTGGCAGGCGAATTGGCGAAAATAGTATTATATATCTCGCACCTTTGACTCTGCTCAAACGCAATACTCGTCGTCAAACTGAGCATTTTATATTTGAAATATAGGATATTTATATAGGAGACCATGAGATCTTATGAAGCATTTCCAAAAAGTCGTCTTATCGAGATAAAATGGCAAACAGCCGTCGTATTTCCCACAGTCGCCTCTTACGACACATGGTTGTATTCTCTTATGCCGTCACCTCACGGCAGTGCATCCATCACTGCCGACTTCTATTATCCTGTAGACACCTGCATACTTTCGAATAAGGATTAAATTACAAGTACATGTCACCCTTGAGGACTGAAATGTAATGCTGGTTACGAGTAAAAAGGGACCTCCGTATTTTGATTCTCGGCAAACAGCAGAATTACTTCTGTAAAGGGAATACTACGATTTCACGTTCGTATGTTGAAAGAGCTTAGTACATAGGTACCAGGCATACTTGGTACTTCGGTTAGCCGACGCATTCGTAGTGCAACCAACGAGTAAGTAAGAGGCGACAGAGGAAAACTGAGGCAGAAGACGGGCAGCAGTATCTTACAGATAACAGCAAAATAACTAACCTAACCTGCGATTGCCAACCCCTTCGCCAAGCGTGGCAACTATGGCAACATACCCCCCCCCCCATGATAAGAGTTACGAAGAGATGGCCCCCAGCGGCCCCGCTATTCATGGCTACGATGGCCACTATGGTAACGGCGGGGCAGGGGGTGCTAAGAATATCTGGTGGAGGTTCAGTTGCCACCTAAGACGACTCGACCTGGCAACATATAACGCACGCACCCTGAGGACTGACGAGAAGATCCAGGAGCTGGAAGAAGAGATAGACAAGTTGCGCTGGAATATTATAGGATTATCCGAGGTCTCAAGAGAGGGGGAGGACACGGTAATCCTCGAATCCGGCAACTTGTTCTATCACCGGGAGGGCGACCATCTGTCCCAAGAACGTGTCGGATTTATCGTCCACAAGTCTCTCGTTAACAACTTTGTAAAGATTGGGAGTGTATCGACGAGGGTTGCGAACCTTATACTCAGAATCACCAAACGGTATTCGCTGAAGGTCATACAGGTTTACGCACCAACCTCAGCATATCTCGATGAGATGGTTGGGGAAATGTGATATCTCTAGAGCCATGCATTTCTCCAAAACCCATTATACGGTGTTAATGGGAAACTTCAACGCAAAACTAGGCACAAGAGAGAACGGTGAGCTGAAGGTAGGGTATTTAGAATAGGACATCGGAACCCAAGGGAACAGCATCTGACCGACTTCATGGAGAAAGAGGGACTCTTTATGACGAACTCTTTCTTCCAGAAGCGGCCCCACAGGAAGTGGACCTTAGTTTAGTAGTACGACGGGCTGTTTTCCGCAACTCCACGTCTATGCGCGTATTTTGCGTGTGGGCAGGAATAATGTTTATTCGAGCCATGAGATCTCCCCGAAGAAGCTCAACAGTCCTTTGATGGTGCATGCAACTTCGGGGAGTGATCCCGGCGTGCCGAGATGTTTAGCCCTGTATGTAGCGACCTCCGGACATTTCAGTAGCACGTGGGCCGCCGTTTCTTCCTCCCCCATACATGCCCTGCACAGGGGACTATATGTAACACCTATAGTAAATAAATGTTTGTTAAAGGTACCGTGTCCTGTGATAGCATTTGTTACTATCCTGATCTGCAGCTTGTTCAGTCTCATTAGAACTTTGGTTAAACGATTGTTTATTTCAGACAGAGCCTCCCTAGCTTGTCTACAGTCTACTATATTTTTCCAAAGCTGAGTGTGTTGATTAGTGAAGTGTTTACGTACTAGTGAACTAACATTACCAAAGGGGATTGGTATGATTGGTTCCGGCCCTATAGTGGCCAGAGCCGATCCTCTTCTGGCCAGTTCGTCTGCTGCATCATTGACTCTGGATCCACTGTGCCTTCCTTTATCTATTGCAGAGTCACATTGTTGTTTTTACATACCTCATTTAATCGTTGATGGTATTCATATATTAGTCCCGAGTTCACCATATTGCAACTCAGAGCTTGTAGTACCGCCCTACTGTCGGTCAGTATTCTGATGGAGAAGTCATTAACCTTCCTAGCATCTATTGCTATGGCCGCTTGAATGATACCCATACATTCCGCCTGAAAAACTGTGTTGTAGGTACCCAGCGGTGTGTATATGTGGATATTGAGGTCTTCAGAGAAAGTTTCAGATCCTACACCTTAATTTGTTTTAGAACTATCGGTGAAAACTCTAAGCTCTTTTGAGCTTCTTCCTTCCGGCTGGCTGGTTTCATTTAATTGTATCTTGTACTTCTTATCGAATACAAATTGTTTAGGAATCTTATCGTACTTGGCTTGTAAGACAGGAATTTTTGAGTGAATTCTATCAATTATGCCTGTATGAGGACACTATTCTTACTCCAAAGATTTAAGGTTGAGTCTGATGACAGCGAAAGTCGCTTCTTGTTGTATATGTAGATAAAGCGGGGTTAGCTCCAGCATCGCTTCTAAGGCTGCTGTTGGCGTAGTCCTTATGCAGCCTGTGGCAGCCGTACATGCCAGTCTCTGGTAGCGCTGAAGCTTCTTTATAGTGGTGGCTTCATTTGTCTTGGTCCACCATACCAGAGCGCCCTATGTGATCATGGGCCGAATTACAGTTTTGTACAGCCACAGTATGATTTTTGGCGTCAGACCCCATCTTTTGCCAATCATGTTTCTGCATTGCCTGAAAGTTATACTAGCTTTGTTGATTTAGTTTTCTATGCGTTTATTCCAGTTAAGTTTGCTGTCCAAGATAAGACCTAAATATTTTACCTCAGAGGATAACTGGAGTTTTGTGCTGAAAAGACTTGGGAGATGATAGTTATTCAGCATTCGTTTTTGTGTGCACATTACTGGAACAGTTTTATTTGGATTGACGGTTAAGTCATATTCCCTGAACCATCTCTCCACTATACGGAGAGCCGCTTGGGTCATGTCGCACACTATGCTTTGCTGTCTTTCCAGAGACCAGTATTGTCAGGTCATCAGCATAACCTACTGTGTAAAAGTGATTGGCATTTAATTTGCTGATGAGTTCATTACTGACCATATTCCACAGGAGAGGTGGGAGAACCCACCCTGCGGGCAGTCTTTCTTAATCTGGATTGGTTGAGATTCATCAGCAATCTTTATTATTCGTGTACTAAGCATGCTTACTATCCAGTCAATCAGTGCCGCTTCAACTTTGTCTACTGAGTGCACCTTTTATGCTGGAGAAGTTCGTTCTGTCAAAAGCACCTTCTATATCAATGAAGGAACCTAGACATATTTCTTTGTTTTGGATGGCCTCTTCAATCTTTGTTATTACCTGGTGAAGGCAAATCACTAGACTGTAGGCGTGTTGCTTGTCGTATAGCGGTAAGTTCATTAGCGCCGACCCCCTTAACTCCCTTTCATACATCGTCTCCATCGTCTTTAGGAGAAATGATGTGAGGCTAATGGATCTGTAGGATTTGGGGTCTGTGTAGTCGGTCTTACCTGGTTTGGGTATAAATGTGACTATTACTTCCCTCCATCCCCTAAGAACATATTTAAGAGCCAAATATGCTCTCATTATGGCAACAAGTCTGGCTATTAGGGCTTTACCGACCCACTGTAGGAGTGCCGGGAATATGCCGTCAGGTTCTGCCGCCTTATAGGGAAGGAAACTGTGAATGGCCCAATGGATTTTGTCCATCGTTACCACTCTCTGTGCTAAATCCCAGTCTTCTGCTGTTGGTGTCAGTATATTGTCATGTCGGTTTGCCTCCTGAGTTACGCAGCAACCTGGGAAGTGCGTTTCAATTAGGATGCGTTGGCAACGCACTCACGCACTTGCGTGAGTCTTTCCAGGCTCCCTGGGCATCAGGGATAAGGATACCACATTTGACTCTTTGTAGTATTTCCGACTCTTTCTTTATGGTCAGCGAGGTGTTGGATTTAAGGTACTCTACCTGGTAGCAATATTCCCCTTTAACCAATCCAGAGCCTTCTGATCGTCGCCCCACAGTTTCAGTACACCCTCCGTGTAAACGGGTTTGCCTCTAAAAACTGGGCCCGACGCACCAGGGTTCTGGCTATTCCAGGCCTAACTGATCATCTTCCTCTGTATTGCCATGAGGATGTCGTCAGCTACTTCCTTCGTTATGTGACCTGAACGCGCACACGTTAAGGCTACACCCAAATCTGCTTTAGCAGTGGAAGCGTAGCTTGTTCTTGCAGCCTTTGGTTGCTGTTCGAGTCGCACTTTTTTGTGCTCACCTCTCGGTGAGGTGGACTCTTCCAGCATCCTTTTGGCTGTTCTTTCCTTCTTCTCTTCGGCCTGTTCCCCGCTGCTTCTTATTCTTCTTTTTGGCCTTTCCAATACTGCCTAGAAGGATAGACCCTCCTAATGGTCCGTCAGGTCGGCAAGTCACCTTTTTGGGTGCCTTGCCTTTCCCCTTACGCCTCACCACTTGCCAGGAAGCAGAGAAAAGCTCGTCCGTTCTCTGTGGCTCCGCAGGAGCTTTGTTACTCGCGGGCTCTTGCTCCTTTTTCTCATCCAACTCCTCAGGTTTGGAACTGGTTTTGGAAACGTCCAGCGCGGAAGTTGCTCCCTTGGTGGGGCCACCTACGCTGGATGGTACTGTGCATGGAACCGTCGGTTTAATGGTGGTTCCCCCTTGTTCTTTGGTGTCTCTGGTAAGCACCTCTAACACCTCTCCCTCTTTCTTACTGGACCTTAAATTGTAGATATTAGTTTTGTGTGTAAAATTCGTCCCCCCAGCTTCCCACCCTCCATGGAGCCCGCACCTTTGGGAACACATACTTTAAAAAAAGAAGAATTTCAGGCATTAGGATTACCGGAGGAATATAGGGATGAGAAGTTGGCTCACAGCGCGAGATCGGGAGCTCGATCCAGCTGGTAGATAGGGCTGACAAGGCCCATCCCCACTACCCGAAAAAAGTGTCATTTGCTCCGTCAGCATGGCCTTTTCCACCACCCAGCCCCTTTTCAGGAAAACTAGGCAGCCCCCACATCCCTCGCCTGTGACCCTCTGACGGGGCGCTTGGCCATTTCCCTCTCTGTGGCTAGCAGATAGGGCCACCGTTTAGCTTGAAATCCGGACCAAAGAGGGCGTGTTGCCTCTCGCCACTATATACTCGTACCTAAGCGACGATCGGCTCAACCCTCCAGGACTCTTTCATCTCCGCGTACGGCGCTCGACTGCGCAGGTCCTAGTGCAGGTAGGTGTGTAAATCCACCGGATACACCCACTCTCTCCGGCAGAACTACCCCTCCTCCTTTCTCATCCGGGCTTGGGACCGGCAATGACGAAGTGGAAGAGAGCCCCAACAGTTCGACAAAAATAACATTGACTTCATTATGACGACCAGACGACAACTGTTCAGTGATGTCTCAGTGATCGCGAGGGTGAAAACCGTAAGCGATCGCCGAATGGTGAGAGGCACACTGAACCTAAACGTTAAGTTGGAGAGGTCACGTCTAATGAAGTCAACGCTCTGTCCCCCTCGTGCTCTAGTCCTAAGTTCTGAAAACTTTCAACTCGAGTTACAAAACGTTTTCAGTGCCTAGAAGATTGCGATGTAGTGGACGATATGATCACACTCTTAATCTCATGCGTGTTAGACGGGAAATGAAGCTGCAGTCTTCAGCAGATTTGACAGCATATAGGCGATTGAACAGACAGATCTCCAATTGCATGCGGCGGGACTTCAATACAACTCGTATTGAAGAAGCGATCGAGCGGAACTAGAGCTCCAAAGTCTTTGCCAGAGATCTGTCTACAGAAAGAGCCAACTGTCGAAGCTTAAGACAGTGTGGCAGCAACGTCTCCGGGACACCTGAAACTTTGAGTGAGTCACATCATCGTTGGAGCCACATGCAAGTGTGAGTAACGATCCAAGAGCAAGTCTTATCCGACACTATTCCGATGATATTCCGGACGTCATTATGAGCAAGATTAGAATGACTCTCCAGTACCTTAAAAACGGCAAGGGATTAGTCCAACGGATTAGTAAGCTGAAGTGGTAATGGGCCGGCCATATAGCTCGAAGAACCGACAACCGATTGGGAAAAAAGGTTCTCGAGGGGCAGGCTTGTACCGGGAGGCGAAGTGTAGGGCTACCCCCCACTAAATGGAGTGACGACCTGGTAAGACATGCAGGAAGTCGATGGATGCAGGTGGCTCAGGACCGTGCTTTGTGGCATTCCTTGGGGGAGGCCTATGTACTTGCGAAGGGATGTAATGATGACGATGATGATGCTGCAGAATTGCTCTATCACGTATTATAGTTGAATAAATATTTTCAGGAAATATTTGTAATTTAGTTGGCTTGATATTGATACTTTACCACATGTTACTTGGGATTTCGCACAAAGATGTTGATTTAGTGACCTACAGCTCCATTACTTGGATTATCGTTTTCGGTTGTTTTCTCTATAATTTAAGCGCTATTGGTGTGGTAAGTCACTTAAAAAATATTACTATAGCTATAATAAAATGTCTTTATTTAACGTGGTTTTCTGACTGGCGGCGTCACACAATAACATCAACCTTAAGACCCTGCAGCTATAGGCTGTTTTTGTGTGCTGTCGTCAGTTATTACAGGTTTACGTTTACGTCAGTTATTAACATATCATGTTTCGCTATTAACAAAACACTTAAAAAATAGCTTGATCGTGCATTTCTTCTTTATAATTATTATAAGGATGTAGTTATGCAAAAACGATACACTCGTGTAGTAACGTAGGACAAAAGAATCGAGTCAAATAATTCAGATTTTTTTTTTGCTAGTAATTGCAAAATTAAAAATAATAAAATGAAGCATTATTGTATACCGATTCAAGCTTCAAACATCAATATCTTAAAACGTTTATTTTTATTAACTTTTATTAAAATAATTGTATAGATACGAAAATACACATTTTTATTATTGAACATAACTTATAATCTTAGACCATTCAACCAAAGGACGAGTAATTCGATTAATGCTATGAACAAAAAGTCTGTCACTTTTAGTGCGGGGCGAGGAAACACTACAAAGGTAGTACTGCACGGCTACTAAATAAAATTTTGTGTCATTATGGCACACACATCTAAATCTCCAACACTGTTACATTTTACGCACACTTATAGGTTAAATACATCAACATAGAAAAAGTTATGAGTGTAAGACGAATTAATTGCGATGCTATATCGATAGTTTCCCTAAGCGAAAAAAACAAGCCTAAGCAAAACGCACTCGACCAAACTAAAAAATTCACATGATTTTAATAGTCAGCGCAACAAGTCTTTTTAGGGTTCCGTAGTAAAACAACAAGGAACCCCTATAGTTTCACCAATACCGTCCGTTTGTCCGTCCGCAGTTTAGCGTAAAGACTATTGGTACTCTAAAGAGCTGTAATTTTGCATGGTTATACGTGAACACCAGAAATACAAAGGCTCTAAGTTCCGAAACAAAAATTGGTGGACGTGGGTTGCCTCAAGAAATAATCCCAAAAGACAATGGCGAAAATGACCGACATGTTTTAAAATTAACGAAGCATCGTGCTTATGCAAGTTTGAGTTAATTATAATTATAATTTTATACAATGGTTATATAAAAATTATTGGGGCTCTAGAGTACAGGAGTCAAAAGAAATAGTTATTATAATTTATTTAAAACTAGTTCTTCTTCCAATAACAGAACGTTATTCGCCAGTAAACGTACCCAGTGATTGTAAATGACATCCTTTGCAATTACTCATTATTTTATATAGATATTACTTTCACCGTTGTAACTTGTTTCTTTAATAATCTAAATCGTCCCACAGCTAGTCAACCTTTCACATCTCTCTTGTAGCAAGCAGTAATTAGGTTAAGGCAACATAAATATTTTTTAAGGACTTCATGTTACCTAACGTAGATACAGCGTCTGTAGCTACTTTATCTGTCTTGACATCTGTCAAGACAGATAAAGTAGCTACACTTTGCACTTATTAATAATATAAATAATATTCGGATATTTAGCTGTCATGTTATTCGTTTATTAGAAAATCGACCTTAGGTTTATGCATTGTTAGTTGAAATTACTATACACAAATAAATTAATCTCGTAAGGAGTGCGTTTGAACTGGCGTTTTCAAATTTAAACTTAATTTGTATTAAACGAAGGTTGAAATTACTTTCTAATTAGTAGTACGCGCGCGGTACTGGGCTTTATTATTATTATTATATTATCTTATTAATATATTATTATTATACTTAGTGTTTACATTCGATTATGTTGAATGTGTATTATATATTATATATTATTATTATTATTATACCTACCTCTATTAATTACCTTTGAATTGGATTTTGTTCACAATTTCAAGGGTATTAATTTTTTTTCACGGAACCATAATTCGTTTTCTAAAATAAAAGTAGCCTAAGTTATTCCTTATAACATCAGCAATCTAGCAGTGAAAGTTCCGTCAAATCGTTCCAGCAGTTTCGGAGATTAGCCGGAACAAACAGACAGACAGACAAAAATTTTAAAAATGTCTTTTTTGTTATAAGTACCGTATATACTTCCCTATATATTAAGTAAAAAGCTGTTATTTTGATATTACAAACAGACACTCCAATTTTATTTATTTGTATAGACTAACGGTTCCCCGCGACTTCACCCGCGTGTAATTTAGGGTTTTAATTATGTTGCGCGGACGGAACCCTAATTATTTTTTTAAAATATAAGTAGCCTAAGTTTCTCCTTATAACATCAGCTGTCTGCCAGTGAAAGTCCCGTTGAAATCGGTCCAGCCATTTCGGAGATTAGTCGGAACAAAAAGACAGACAGATAAAAATTTTAAAAATTGTGCTTTTGTTATAAGTACCGTATATACCTTCATATGCATTTGGTAAAAAGTTGTTATTTTGACATTACAAACAGACACTAAAATTTTATTGATTTCTATAGATTACGTACTCGATTACCCTAATCGGTAAAGTTTTCGATTATTATTTATGACTAGGTGTTCCCCGCAACTTCGCTCGCGTATTTATGTTTTTGTGCGGAACCCTAATACTTTTTCAAAACTAAAAGTAGCCTAAGTTACTCCTTATGAAATCAGCTATCTGCCAGAGAAATTCCCGTCAAAATCGGTCCAGCCGTTTCGGAGATTACCCGGAACAAACAGACAGACAGACAGAGAGACAAAAATTTTAAAAATTGTATTTTAGTTATAAGTATCGTATTTACTTTCATATGCATTTAGTAAAAACCTGTACTTTTTACATTACAAACAGACACTTCAATTTTATTTATTTGTATAGATATTATTTTAAATGAATTTAGAAGAAAAAAAGCATGTATCACAATAAAAATATTTACATATGGAATGTAAATTTTTTTGTAAATTTTAAGTATTTGACTGATTTCGGCACACGTTAACCGCAGATCGGCATTTTTCAAAGAGCACCTACTTCGGCGGAAACGATACTTGTAATGATAAAATCGATTCCTTATACAGTTTTTATAAACGCACAAGATTTTTAAATCCAATACCTTGGCAGAGGGGAATAATCATGCGAGGCGAATCCATTGGGTTAAATGGTCTAAGCATATAATTAATTGTTAACTTCATTTTACATTCTTTAGTTGGGGCTTTAATTTTTCTATACACTATGCTTTGACACCGACTTCAGAATGCGAAATTATTTTTATTTTTATTTCTTAGACGTCAGCATTTAATTTCTATTAAAAGTTTAAGTTTGATTTTTTTTTCAGATTTTGACCTTAGAGAGAAACCTGTATAAACCAAAAGCATTAACTAAACGTTACGGAGTACTCAACATAAGCATGATTTTGAATATCTTGAGCTCTATTGTTTTTGGTGTTCTAGGTTACTTGTCCTTTGGAGTTATGGACGAGAATATTCTGAGGTCGCTTCCATATGATGATAAGTATGCATTTTTAATTCTTTATAAAAAAAAATATTTTATCTTTGAAGCGCGTGCTACAATGACGAATACGTATAATAATTATTAACTGAGACCCAAATCGCGCTATCAAAGATTCCAAAAAAAAAGTTCATATTAAAACATAAAACTCCGGCTTTATGATACAATTCGTCGGTCGGTACGTTGCCTATTTGATCTTACTTTTCTTAATAGAGAAGGACAAGACCGATTTGCACCGATTGTAACCTCATAGTGCTCGCCTTTGCTGAAAATCGACAGGCGGCAGGGCAACGGGAACTCTTTTCCAATGCATTTTTTTTTGGTTTGACCCACCAGAGTTGCAAAAGATATCACATCGGCTGTTGGATACCCGCAGTCAAAAAAATTACATATAGAAGGATCTATATCAGGGCATCCCTTCAGTTCAGACCAGCCATATAAGCATATATACTCCTAAAATCGTTCCTCAAATATGGCTACGTGAAAAACGTATCACCTTTCAAGTATGAAAATGTTTATGTCTAGCATCAAAGTGTTAGAGGTAGAAAACCAATATTCCCAAGATTGGTTATAAATGCTACTAAAGTGTGCAGGCATACAACATTGACGGCTCCGTGGCGCAGTATTAGTAGTGTAGTTGTACCACTTCTAGACCACCTGAGTCAGACGTGGTTCAACGACGTTGGTCGACGCCCGATCCTAAAAAAAAAAAAAATAAAAGGTTTTGGCATGCTCTGATCACGAATCCATTTTTGTGTAGAATGCACGGTTCCAGAGATGTGTACATCAATTAGCTAATATCTAATTGATATCCGGTAAGGGCCTCCACCGTCATTAGCGTCCCATTGTTCCTATTTCTATTGTTCTATTGTTCCTTAATCACCTTCATTGCAGCGTGTGCGTCGACTATATCAGTGCTATTGTTTATTATAATTCTTTGTTTATACAACACTAATCTGAATCATCAATAAAACACATTACATAATTTTGTTACAATTTTTATTTATAAAATACAAAATCTTATTAATTATTATCTATAAAATAGGAGCGAAACATCTCATCCACTAAAATATCGTTGTACAATGTGTTCCTTGTAAATATACTCGTAAAACTATGTATTGAACATCCTTGAAACTTATATAGCAAATACATTAAGCAATATTCGCCACAAACTGAAGTCCACTCATTCTGAATCCTATCAACATTCCAGTTCCATCTTTTACAATTCCTTTTTAAAAACTCTAGATGATATCGTACAGGTGATCGTCCATATGAATCAAAATATTGACCGACGTCATTCGTATCGATATATAAAGCTACCCAATGTGACCCTGGTTTATCATCTGTATCCAAATTACATATTATATACGTTGGTACGTGGGTATACATAGGCAGTCTATTAGCTGCATAAACATTATTTTCTAGACTGGGGTGAATCTTTTTCAGATGTTGTTGTACATCTAGTGTATCCATGATATTACTGCTATTAGTCGATTATTACAGTACCTAGCTACTCAATGAATAACATAGGAATGGTCAATTATAGTGATTTCTACATATTAAATTGCATTTTTGTGTTATACAAATCGTACTTGAGTCATTGATCACCAAACAAAACACAATACGAAGAAATGTTGAGATAGGCAACGGAAATGTGAGATAAACTGATATGTTTCTAAATATTAAATTGCATTTTTGTGTTATACAAATCGTACTTGAGTCATTGATCACCAAACAAAACACAATACGAAGAAATGTTGAGATAGGCAACGGAAATGTGAGATAAACTGGTTGACGCATAAAGTAATTATCAACTCATTACGGAAATACTTTAGATTAGAATTTTTACGTACTGGTGGTATATAAGACCAACAAACGCAGTCATCGAGTTAGTGTACGGTCGTTTGGCTACAGTGGATCTATCAATAGTACATTTGTGTTACTTCAATACACCAAAGGCTATGGATGTAAGTGTTTACTCTATTGACTAAATTACTTTTTTTCTGTTATTTTCATGTGTGTGTATTATTTTATTTAAATATTGTGTATGTATATGATTAAGCCGTGGTAACTCAGATGGTTAGCGCTAGCTGTAAATTTCACAGTACGCGACCCGGGTTCGATCCCCGCCAGCACCAATTAAATTGTTAATAGCAATTTTAAGTGCTTATTACCACGTGCTTGGTGGTGAAGGAAAACATCGTGAGGAAACCTGCATGTCTGAGAAAATTTCGAAGGCATGTGAAGTTCGCCAACACACATTGAGGGAGCGCGGCGGACATTTCCTTGCTCTAAAACCCTCTCAGAAATGAGAGGAGGCCTATGTTCAGCAGTGGACTTTAATAGGCTGTAACTTTAACTTTTTTAACTTTTATGATTAAGTGTTAACAAATTGATATTAACATGATAACTGTGTTGTTGCAGAAATCATTGAGCTTCGATGAAGATACCTATAAACAGTATTACTACTCGCCACTCTCCCCTCAAGAAGAGAGTGATGACCTCGTCATTAATAATAACACATGCGATGGTGGAAAAAGAAAATCGCAATCGATTGATCATTTTTTTGAAGCTGAATCAAAAATAAAAAAGAGGAAGCTGTTATCATCAACCGTAGCACGAGCCGCTAGAGATGGTGTATCATACATTTCTACTAATTCTGACGACGGAGACCAAGCGACGCATCTCATCAAAATTGAAATGTACGATATGAAGAAGCTATCCAAGATTCCAACTACTGATCATTGGAAACATGCTTCCACGAGAATTAAATATTACGTAAAGACTAATAAGGATAGCATCTACGACAACACAAACGCCCTCGTATACAATATAACAAAGACAATAGCAGAAAGTGAAAAAGTTAAAAAATACTTTTTTAACAATGACAGTCATTAGCTGATCATTAGTGAATGTGATTCTGTTTACTTCAATTACAGGAAGACAAGAGCGGAAGGAAGAGATGAGTGTGGCATACGTGTACAAAACACATCATTGAATAACAAAACTACAACACTGAGTGGAGAAGAAAACGAGAAGAGTATGCAGTACTCAAGAGCTGAATATCCATTCTTCAGTTCAAAATCTAGCTGTTTGCTTAGTTTCGAAAACTGGCCTCTAGTTATGCGACAGAAACCTGAAGATCTTGCAGAAGCTGGTTTCTTTTATACTGGCCATGCAGACGGGACCAAGTGTTTCCATTGTGGTGGTGGTTTAAAAGATTGGGAAGATGATGATGATCCTTGGCAGCAGCATGTTCAGTGGTTTAGTCAGTGTGCTTATGTAAAATTTCAACTCGAACAGTGTTTTGTATTAGATTAAATAGAAGATTTATAAAGAAATAAAAAAAAATATATTGCATACAATTTGTTTTATTTAATTTTATAACGTTTCACATAGTTACATACACACAAAATGCATTACACATAACACATAAAATCTAACACACAACACATATTATAACCTTAACTACTATAGTCTACAGTAACATTTCTGTTTTTATCTATCTCAATAATATTATCAAACTCAGCATAAACTATACAGTTAATTGTTTGTATTAATGAGGATTCAAATCGTACTTCTATTCTTACACTACCATGCTTTATGAGATTCCAATGAGTTGATGAGTTAGCTGATAAATCAGGAGTTAAGTCAAATGCTAATAGACAGTAACCTTTGCCATACTGTTCACAAGAGATTCCATTTCCTTCATTAAGAAAGTGAATACCAGTTCCCGAGAATAGAGTATGATATGCTGATGTAAATATGCTATTATTAAAAGATGGTTGCAAAGCTTTTGAAGGTATTTGTTGACCATCAATATATAAGCTGAAAGAATTAATACCATAGTTTTCAAAGTTAAATGGATTTTTAGTAAGGGAACCATTAAATGCAGAATTGTTCACAAATCCAATTATACATCTTTTCGGTACCTGTCCTAAAAATATATTATCAAGAGTTTTTCCTTGAACACCCGAAGGAATTGTTAAAACTTTTACTTCAGCTCGAGTAATAGGATATTTAGCAGTGGTAGAAGCTAAAACTTTTTGATGTGCGAGTAATACACTTGGATTAATTCGTGCTCGTCGAACAATAAGAGTTGCGTCCGTAATACAAACTTTAAACTTTACATCGTTTGATCCAACAATTAAATTAAAACTCTCTCTTGATCGAACCAATTTAACACTCATTTCAACACCATTAATTAAAAATTTATCTTGGTTAAAAATGTCACCGTGAAGATGACCAATCATTTCTATTTCCTTACTTTCACTAATCAATTCCTGTCTTTTAACAAATCCTATGTTTTTACCATCTGTAGAATCCATTTTTCCTGCTGTATCCTCATACCAAAGACTACAAGTAAGATGAGATTGTTTAGCAGCAGGGGCATAGTTTAAAAGGGTTTCCATGTATGCTCGATATGCATAGGTATTATTAGGTGGTGATACAAGTTTTTGGTTTAAATAAACATCAAGTTGACTAAAAAGTGAATGCAGCCAATTATTTACAGGTGCTACTATTGTAGTAGATACCAAGTTAGTTGAATCTTGATTTAATACTTTTGCCTTTATGTGGAGTAATGTATGAGACAAATCTATGTAGTCATCGCCGGTCCCAGGAACTTGAAACTCGATAGGTCCATCATCACCAAGAGATGAAATTGGTTTATAATGAATCCACAATCCATTTTCAATGCTAGTTTGTGTAGACGGTAGTGCAAACAAATCCAATTCTGACTTAACGCACTCGCAAGAATGATTATGAAGGAAAGACATATTTAGTTTGAAAATATATCTTTGATATTTTTTGGTTTTAGACTAAGTTTTTTCGCAGCTTTCACTTTAGCAGTTAATGGTGGAATGAACGATGTCAATCGTTTTCTTTTAGTTTTATACCCAGATCCAGTCATGTTAAATTGATCAATTTTCTCATCAGCCTTTCGTTTTAAATTCGTACTAACTTGCTTTAGACGATCTTTTATTGAGGCTTCCATAGGACGG